AATTTACTGTTGCTCAAAAGTAAACTTTTTATAAAAATTACCAATCTTTGCTTTGCACCAAATGCGTTTTTACGGAAAACAAATTTTTAATATTTGATTTGTAAAATTTTATTAATTGAAAATGTTAAATATTTTAAAAAGATAATCTAAAATATTAAAAAATAGCATTTTTATAAATTAAAAAAACTGTTTTTAATTTTAAAAAAAATGTCTAAAAAACATACTTCAATGTTTTTTGACTAATAAATTTAATTTAGGCAAATATATTAAAATTACTATTTATTTTTAAATTTTAATAAAATTTGGCCCTATAAAATATTTGTGCAAAGTTCTAGATAATATAAATTCAGCAAACAATTTTTAACATAATTTTAAAATATTTAACTATCTCTTATTATTTATAATGTTCTATAGCCAAAACATTTACACTAATTTTATAATTTAAAAGAGCGGGTTTTCTAATAAAATAAATGAGAGATAATAATTATTAAATACCTCCTATTAAAAAAGTTAAGCATAGTATATTTTACCTTAAAAAAATATTTATTGAAAACGTGAGCGCCATATATTGTTCATTGTTCTAGAATAAAAAAGACAGATATACATTTAGTTTTTAAACGTTGTTTGAAGAAGTTTTATTTTTATAATTGGAATTTAACTTGAATTTAAAATAAAAAGAAAAGCCACAAAAATTTACTATTTTTATAATTTATATTTTTTATTAAAAGACAACATTTTAAATTTCGTGCATTGCTTCACTAAAAATTTATTAATTTAAAATAATTTCCAATAATTATTAAATAAAATTATATTTTATCAATAGGATGGTTAATAATAAAATATTATGAGAGGAAAAGTACGGGAGAAAATAAATAATCCAAATTATAAATTTTTACAATTTTTATATTTCATGTTGCGAACTTAAAAACTATAATTAGAGAGGAATGAGTCTTAAAAATCACTCTGTTTCATGTCACAGCCCGTTTCCGGCGGCCGGACCAGTACTAAGCCCAGGTAAGCTTAAAGGCCCCGAGGCCCGTAAGTTTAAGCCTGAACACTAAAATTTATTACTTTTCAAATATAAAAGTTTCAAACATTAGCCCATATTATTAAAAAAAAATAAAACCTCAATTCTTATTTTTTAAATCTCGGCCCAAATTTTATCAGCTACAACATTCCACGGTTCGGACCCAATTAATAGTACATCACATTTTTAATATGGGCTCACATAATTATATCGTCTATGTTAATTACACGACTAATTGTACGCAAATTTCTACAACTGCGGTGAATCACTAACTCAATAGATATACATAGATTTTTATATATCTAGATACAAAGCAAAATATTTATTTGGTCTTCTTAGGGAAAAATTTTCTTTCCTAGCTCTGCGACGAGGGGAACACTAGCTTAACGAATTAAAGAGAAACTTACTTCCTGAAAATTATACAAGTATTGAGCTTTCTAAGGAGTAAACTATTTATTGCACCAACCACAACACATCACACATATGTGTAAATATATCAATCTAGTCATCCGACTAGTATATGCTCACGCAAGCCAGTTACACAAATGGACATGGTACACCAGCACTCACAATCATTAAACATTCTTCATATAAATCACATCACGTTGGAAAATTAGTCAGTGGAGGTCACCGAAACCCCCGATGAGCCGTCCTCCCACATGGCTCATCCTCTCACATGTGCACCAGGAGCCGATCCCCCATACTGCCGACCGGCTCTAATCCTCCACTTGACCAGCCCTCTCATTGTTTTCTATCCTCTCTTTTCTTTTCATTACCAAACAGGAGGCAACCCGGTCGTCTCCATCAAATCTAGATCATCAAGCGCTCACAACAAGGAGGCTCACCCTGCGGGGCTGCGAGTCAAATCTAGATTATCCGAGTGCGCCCAATAAAGAAGCCAACCTGTGAGTTTTAATAGTAACGTAACAGTATTGCCACACGGGGCGCCGATCTTCCATTTACCCGGCTAACAGAGAAACAGAATCCAGGACTCCATATAACAGAAATCAGGAATATAACAGAAATTTAGAATCAGGATCCGATATAACAGAAACAGTTCTCAACAAACCATGGTGACCCACTTTCATCCCAAACTCCACACAAACAAAGCCATTAGCATAAACACGAACACATAAATCAAAACATTGCAATCAAGTGCAGGGACATATTGATAGTTGGAACAACGTAATAAAATGCACAAACTAGACAACCATTCTCAAGTGCAATTAAATAAATAACAAATAATAGTAAGAATAAACCAAAACATACAAATAAATTATAATAATGGAATAAATAAAAAATAATTGAAAATTAATTCCAATGAATAATAATGAAAATAATTAAATAATTAGAGCACTTCTATTTAATATTTATTAAAAGTGGTATAGAATTAATCTAAATAAAACTTATTAATTAATGTGCATTTTACTTAAAACTTAGTCTAAGTTCTATCGAAATTGCGCAGCATCTCCCCTAAAATGACTAATCTACCTGTTAAAATGTCAACAAATATATCAAATAATCCAAAACCACACAGCCCATCCATCGTGGCAATCAATCAATTTCAATTTTCCCATCCTCCATCCGAAATAACAATATCCAACATTACATTCAACCTTTAACATTCACCCTACATCCATAATTTATAAATTAAATACATACAATTATTTATCTACGCTTCAATCTATTTTTTTTTTGCACTTAAATTCCATAAATTTTATTATTACCCAAAATTTCCTAATAAATTACTTTAATACGCGGAATTTAGTTTTTAGCTAACTATCATTTTTATTAATCAATAATTACTTCATATTAATTAATCAAAACTTATTTTGAATTCATTTTTTTAAACTAACTAAATAACTAAAATTACTAACTTAAATATTTTATTATCAATAAATTAATACTATTTAAATTAACTTAATTACTCAAGTAAATTAAACTAATCAGTAGATCTTAGCCAAATTAATTAATTTAACTAATCAAAATTACTAAATTTTAAATCTAATTACTCAAGATTACTAAAATCAATTACTAAAATGAAATTAATCAACTAAAATTATTAGAAATTAAACTAACTAAAATCATTAATGAAATTAAATTAATTAACGAAAATGTAGTTAAATTAATTATACCCCAAATATATTTTTTTTGTTGGAATTTTTGCTAGTCGGAAATTTGCTTCGTTGTCGATCGAAAGGAGCAGTGGCTGTTGGTTGGTCGGAGGCGTGCTGCAAGCGGCGGGCTAGGCGTGGCTGAGGCGCGACGAGCTGCGTGTGGTGGCTCTCGGTGGGTCGATCACTCTGCTGGAGCGGCTTTTTTGGAGTTCCTGGGCAGTTGATGCAAACGCAGGTGCAGGAAAGAAAGAAAGAAAAAAGAAAGAAAAGAAAAGAAAATAGAAAGAAGGAAGAAAGAAGAAGAAGAAAAGGAGAAGAGAGGAGGCGCTGCTTTGATGGTGAGGAGTAGAGGTTGCAGCGCTGGAGATAAAAAAAAGAAAAGGGAATATTCCCTAGATGGGTTTGGTCGATCGAACCGGTTCGATTCGGTTCGATTCGACCCAAAATCTTGATTTTCGAATTGGTTTTTCGGCTTTTTCAATCGTTTTTCCAATTTATTCGTGTGTGGTTTTTTTGAAAAAATCCAATTTGATTTCTGAATCCGGTTCAATTTCATTTGATTATTTTAATTTAAGTTCTGTAACATTTCCTCCTTTAACCAAAATAAAATATAAAAAATTAAAAAAAAACTATAATTAGTAAGGAGATTTGTTTTTTAGGGTAAATATATATGATATTTAATCGCTGGGATTTTATATTATTTCTCGAAACTTTAAATGTTTTACGA